TGTGGCAGCCATTCACTTGTTCAAGCTCAGGGCCTTGATAAGAACGCCGTCTTCATTCTCAAACTTGCCCTTAACCACAACATTGCAAAGCCGATGGACGTTGGGTCCAGATCATCAATGTTTAAATTTGTATCCATCGCTGAGTTGAGGGTTGTCCTTTCGTCGGCGAGCCAAACAAATTAACGCTTCCCTGGTAGATATCGGTTTTGCATGTGCCGGGGAGCATACACGCAAGCTCTTTCTTGATATCACTATACTTAAGTGTATATTTATATAGTTTATACATCAAAATAAACAGAAGTATATTCTGTATATTGTGCAATACCGCGCCTTAGTGGCTCTTTCTACCTGGACTTTTTCCTGTCGCTGTTGAGAACTTTCATTTCGACGAAAAATCACAGGAATCTGGACATTGACAAGCGGCCTTATTGATTCATAAAACTGGCAAAAACTGTTAGCTTTTCTTGCACAAGGAAGGCATATAATTTGAGATATGTGCGACTTATTTTCGAAGTGAAAATCGACCATTCGAAGGCGATCGGCGAAGACACACTGAAATTCTTCCCTTTGACTCTGATTAAAAATGTTTATAAAACTCTTGAAGCCCCTTCCAAAGTTAATTCTTTAATCTACTCCGGATCCACAAAACCGGCAAACTACGTCTTCTGGATTAACTTTTGGCTTTCTCCCTCTCTTAGATTTTGATACCAGATTCTCCTTGTCGTCTGACATTTCTCACTCACGTGGAGCAAGTTTTAGTTGTTGTTTTGACAGTTGCATGATTCACTGAGCTCTCGTTAACGGCGCTTTCTGATTGGTTAATTTTAAGAGGCGCTGATTGACATATGCAAGACGATATGAATATGAAAATATGGGGCGTTTCGTTTGTTAGTGGGGGTCTGTGGCAAGCCCTCCCTCTCCCCTTCGCACATTCCACTTGCCCCAATCCCCCTCCTTTCCCCCAGGGCTTGCTCCGCAGACTAAAATCGATTAATAGTTTGACCTAATGCTCATCTGAGATGTGGTTCCGTAAGATGATGGCAATTACTTCTTGCTTCTAGGTTATGAGAACGCTTCAATTCGATCACTTTTAAGACAGATTCATATAACTTTTCTAGCTCCTTGGAAAAGATTTCCTGTGACACTTGTGTGGAAGCACCCAAATATCGTGTTCTGTCTGTCGTGGGGCTCTTTAAACCTTCCCCTTTTGATGCTAACTTATACCTCTTTTATCACTATTTTCGCTGTCCACATTTATTGGGGTGTGGGAAGAAGTTTACTCATTTTTAAATCGCGAATATTAATGATCTATGTATTGTGTCCATCAGTGAGTTAAAAGTACTGACTTTCTTCTTCATTTTCATTTTTCTTTTTCGGAGGGTGTCTTGATAATGTTTGGTAAGATTGTAGCTTAATTTGAATGACCACCCCTTTTTGAAGCTTGAATTGTTGCTTAACATTCGTGTGCCATCCATAACGCTCATCAAGACCCACAGGCAGTCTTGGTTTATTATAAAAGTAAAATACTCTTAATGAACTAAGCTTCGTGGAGAGATGACTCCTGTGCATTGCAAGCTCACCTTTTGTACAATGGGTTGTCTCTTTCCTTCACTGTTTCATGGCTGAAAGAAGACAATTCGGAATCACATTTCGTGGAAAACCTTCAAGTGTGATATATAGTTTGGATTATATGAGTAAAATTGGCAAACTAGTTTAACCTGTTGTTATACATCCCATGCGGGTTGGCATTAGCGTAACGATCATCATTTCTTTCATCATCATGGCCAGAACTGAAAGCGAAAAAACAAACGTGTTTGATTATATTCCTCATACTCACACACATGCTATAAGCACCGTAGACCAACCTCATGATCAATCGCGGATCGGGCTCGCCAATTTGAGGATTTACTGCAGATGCAAGAAGTGAAGTAGAAGCGAAACGAGCATCACTGACAAATGTCGAATTTTAAGCCTGACGAAGAAGTTTCATAGGTCTTACACTGTGTTACACACATACCTTGCCGTCGCGTTAATGTCGACTACCTACTCGTTTGGTCGGAAGCTCACTGTAGGTGCTTTCCGGTTTTCATTTTTCCTGCTACTCCTACAATATGTTTAAAGAACCCAAAATAGATTGCAATTCCATGCATCTGGCTATTAATGAGGTGAAAAACCGGCCAACTATAACTGAATGAAATATACGTTTTAAACGTTATTCAACTTTTGAACGTTAGATTTGATGAATTATTTGGTAGTTTGCTTTTTGATGCGTAGTTGACTTTTGATGAATGTGTATTTTATTTTTAATTTGGCGGAGAAAATCGGGAATATCCTTTCTCTATTAAATTCCTGTTTTAGAGCAAGCCTCTTAAGAGTCATATATTAGTGTGTCTCTCAGTATCGACATGCGCTAGGATTGGTCGCTTAAGTGAGCAGTGTTTTGATGCAAAACCCGTAGTAGGTACCCTACCTTTCGTACATGTCAGCATCAACTGTCTTCCCACTTTCAGCACCGAAAGAAGAAAAAAAGACAGTTATAAATTACTGCACGAAAAAAAAAAAAAAAACACGACGATCTTGTCTTGCAAAGAATTGACAGAATAAGTGTGATATTTTGGATCCTAAGAGTAAAACTGGCAAACTAGTTTAACCTGTTGTTATACATCCCACGTGGGTCGACATATGCGTAACGATCATCATTTCTTTCATCATCATGGCCAGAACTGAAAGCGAAAGAACAAACGTGTTTGATTATATTCCTCATACTCATACACATGTTATAAGCACCGTTGACCAACCTCAACCGCGCATCGGGCTCGCCAATTTGAGGATTTGCTGCAGATGCAAGAAGTGTAGTAGAAGCGAAACGAATTTTAACCCTGACGAAGAAGTTTGATGGGTCTTACCTTGTGTCACAAGCATACCTTGGGGTGGCGTAGATGTCGACTGCGCTCTCATCAAGTCGAAAGCTCACTGTTGGTGCTTTGCGGTTTTCATTTTTCCTGCTACTCCTGCAATATCTTTAAAAGATCCAAAATAGATTGCAATTCCATGCACCTGGTCATTGATGAGGTGAAAACCGCCTAATTATAACTGGATGAAACAAAACGTTTTGCTTCACTAATTGTGTGCAAATTTTTGTTTAGATTTTCCGCAGATCTTGCTTATTCTAAAGTTGCTATTCCTATTCAATGGAGTTGAGTTTTAAAACAAGATCATAAAGGCAACTTACGAGGGATTCCTATACTACTTGCTAGGTACCCTTGCGAAGCTAGCAAAATTCTAAAATGGCACTTTATATCTTAAAATACGAAAACCATGAGTCATTTTAAGGATGTAATATCGATGAAAAACGGTTGAACTTACCGCTTTTTATGAAAACAAAACAAAGCTACTCCGACCATCACACAAATTACTACCAAAGATTCACTTAATGCAGCGATGAGGGAGGTGTTTGCTGCAGACTCGCTTTCATTGTCCAATGTATCCGAAAAACCTCCTCTCGTCTTAGAGATATCCTCAGTTCCGATGGTTGAGATGTGATCTGTTTTTTCTCGAGAGCTGAATCTGCTCTCTCTTGTAGAAGACATCTCTTGAGTGATCTCTGCGCCTGATGACGTTGTGGATGCTTTATCATTGACATTGCTTGTTTGAGTTGAGGCAAGGGTTGTACTAGTGGTCGTTTTGGCTGCTGTGTTTGGAAAAAAATAGCATCGGTTGGAGGCATATGCAGAATATTCCAGACAAGGATTCCTATCCCAGCCTGCTACAGTCATTTGATGGAATTAAACTACAATGTAGTTGATTATGAGAGTTAGTGGTTCTGTGGGAAAAGCCCGCTAGGAATCCTGGGGTACCAGGCCTCTTATTCACAGACCACTTGTGATTTTTTATTAGGTATTTTTTATTTCAAATCCTACTGATAGACCCAATATCAGGAAACCCATTTGATGCTTAACCAAGAAAAAAAAAATGGGGGATGGCCTTACCTCAGTGAGGTAGTGTCTGTTCATTGAGTTTTAATTTCAAGTCATGGGAGGGGACGGGGTGAGATGGGGAGAAGTACCTTGACTCAGATTGTGTATTTATGTGCTGCTATATCTGGGTCCAGCTTTGAGATGAGAAAGCTGGTTCTCACTC